GTAAAGAAACCTTGGTAAAGAGGAAAACACCACTTACAAACGGATCGCAGTAGAAATTATACATCAAGGAGAACGCGCCCAGGGCCAGAGAGTCAGGTGCAAACAAGGCCGCCGTTCCCGAAAATGAAAAGACAGCAGGAGGAACGAAAATACCAGGCACCAACAGAAGAAATTCAAGCAAGGACTCCAGGCCGGAGGACGCCAAGACCAGCCGTCCAGGGGAAAAACGAAAAGAAACAAGCAACCCGACGACTTACTACTCCAAGAGGCCAGCATGCAGAGCACGAAAAAGAAAAACTAATGTGGACGACACTCAGAGGTCATTAAGGAGAAGATTGACGTCCATGAAACCTATAACGTGGGAACAGTTCTGCCAGAAAAGAATGACGGAGTTCCAATCATCGAAAACTCAAAGATAAGTTAAAATCTTCTATAAATTTTTTTTCTTTTGTTCCAAAATGTTATGCGTAAATACGAAGTTCTATGTTTTGACGAAAGTCAATGTGTGTCGGTTGAGACTTAGTTTTGTTTTACCTTATTTAGCTAAGGCAAAAGTATTATTTTCTTTCAGTATAAAATCTAAGAACAAGCAGTTTCTGTTGGTCGAAAGACTAATTCTGTTATGTTAAAGCCAAAATTTGGCCGAAGATAAAAATAACTTCGTATTCTTGTATTAATAAGACTTTAGTAGTTTCAGTGCCGCCAGCTTGGCGAAGAATGAGTAAAGTAAAAATTTATTTTTCTCTTATTCATTTTATGGTAAATTGTAAAAATCATATGTATTAGAATTTTGTAAATATACGTAAATACTTGAAAGTTATGTAAAAGTAGAATTTAGTCTAGAAGCATAAAATTTTAGATGCTAAAAGTAAATGCTCAAAAGCAATGAATTCAAAATTTAAGTATTAAACTGTAGATAAAATCATGCTTTAGAGCGAAAGCCTGCATGTCTAAAGATGAATGAGGGGGAAGTTAGAATGAATGTGTTTTGTAGGGTTCTCCACCTACACTTGAATTTTAAGAATGTTAAAGTAGCTCATCGAGTTGTAGAATGTCGAGTAAGGTGTGTCTATTTGGTCGTTGAATTCTAACAAATCATTGTGTTTAGGGGAAGTGTTGCAATACTAAAACACGAATATTCCCGTTTGACACCACACATGGTGGAGAGCCAGGGTAAAGTTAAATTAATGTTTGAATACTTGAATGAATGTGAATTAAGCAGTAACTAAGGAAAATAAATCGTTTAAAAACAAAAATTTTTTCAGTGTCAAGAAAGTGTAAATTATAATGTATTTAGAAAGATACTGATACTTATTCCTTCCAGATGCTGGAAGGAAAAGAACAAGATTGATTGCTGAAGTCCAGGAAAAGTTGCTGTAAGAAGAGAGATTAAATAAGTATCTACAGAAATTTAGTATACCTTTTGTGACATAAGATTTTTTTTTTTGTGTAAACGAGGCTTCTTAAAATTAGTTCAGAATTGTAGAAACTTTACAACAGGTCGTTTGTAGGACCTGCTTCCAAGTTTTTCCAAATTCTGGCAGCGGCAAATGTAGGGTTTATATTTATTTTAACTAACATTTATTTTAAGTTTAAACTATCTTTCCTGTCAAGCCTTACTTTCCCCTGGAACTGCCAATGCCAGAGTATGTAAATTTTAGTAGAACGCGCAAGGATTCAAATTATCAGCGGAAGTATTCTGAGTTAAATAGAAAAGAAACGAGTTCGAAGTGCTGCTTTCTTGCTTCACGAGTGTGGAGGTGGCTAGTTAGAAATTGAAGAACCACGCGTTTCGGCCTGTGTGCTTGCCTCGGCAAAGTGTTAATCTTTCAACGTAATATTCAGAGTTTGCTGAATTATCAGCGGTACTTTAGAACGCGGTGAGGTTAGTTACGTTTAGAGAGCCTCGTAGTTAGTCTCTTGTTATTATCTCTTTTTAGTTTCTTATTTTTATTTTACCGCCGGGTCGGCGTAGTTTGTGAGCGTCAAGAGCACGCATTTGTAATTTCTAAAATTGAATAAAAAGGGATTTAAACCCTTCTCAAGACTGTCTAATTTCTAGTTTCAGCAGTCACCACTTTGTTGCGTGCAGGTTGGAGGCGCGCAACTTTACAACCTGTAGATGCAGTAATATTTTACCGAGGCATGTGCAGTGTTTCCCTTGTGCGGCGATAACCTTGTCACCGCCTAATTTAGAAAGTCAATGTCTACGAAAGTATTTTTAAAGAAAGTTTCCGAAATGAAATTGCATTGGGGTCCTGTATCAATCAGAGATTGAGCAGGTATATTATTTAACAAAACTTGCACTATTGGTAAATCCAAATTTTTATTACTACAGTATTTAATTTAATTTCTGATGAATTTTCCTTATTCTGGGCTGATTGCTCCCTCTCCGCGGCTCCCCATTTTAATTTGACTGGTCCCACCACTACTTTTTGTTTAATTCTTTTCTGCCCCTGCTATTCCCGGTTGAATTTTTTCTTTCTTATCAGCCCACCAACGGCCGAGCGGTAACGTCGCTGAACACTAGTAGTTCGGACCGAGGATTGAATCCCGCGAACGGGCTGGCTGCATGTCTGTTTTCGTGGTTTTCCCATTGTGTAACGTGTATACGAGCCAGTTTCCCTTAAAAAGTCCTCCACGAAGGCATCCCTCCCTTAAGGCAGATAACCCTCGAATGCTTTGCCGTAATCTAATAAACGAAAACAAACATTTCTTATCAAATTTCTTCTTCGGTCCTAACTGCGTTTTTTCTGAACCGTTGGCCTAAAACTTCGCTCTTTTGGCTTCTCGCCGAAACCTGACAATTGATTTTTTTCTGCCACGCGTACACTTTGGAACTTCGTGGCTGGTTCAGGTAAATTTTCCAACTTGTTTGATTTCGAATCTCGAAGTAATCTTGAGCTTGTGGTAGGAGTCGCGGCAAAATTATTTGAATAATTTCTTCGTCTGGCCTATTGCCGTACAACAGATTAAAAATCTGGACTTTCCGCAAAATAAAGTCCGTCAAAACCTCGATTTTATACTGGAATTTGCTGAATAGCTCTGACTCAATCTTGCATGTTTACATCATAAGCATCACCAACTTAAAGTAGTGTAAAAGCGAAAAGATTGCAAATTTTTCACATGCTTATTGAATATATTTTGCTTTGCGTGGAGAGAGGAGACTTTTCTCACTTTTATGACAGTAACATCAAAACAACCTCACGAAATTCATCGTGGCAAGGAGAGCAAGATTGCGCCTGTCGTTGGCTAGAGCCTTGGGCTCCATACAGACGACAGTACGACTTCGCTCAGATCCGCCTCCAATTTTGATGGAGAGCACCCCGGGACAGACGGGTCCGAGGGTCTCTCATCCCTCTTTCCCTACCAGCAACCTCTCGATAGAACTTTTGGCTCGCCATATATTTAGAGTGCCCCATGCCACAAAGACACTTTACATATAGAAACATCCATGCTTTCTCCGGGATTCGAGCCCGGGCCCTTCGGTATCGCAGTAGGCTCCCCTAACCACTATACCATCTGGGCAGCTTTGCTTTGCGCGAAACGTTTAAGTCAATTGTAGCAACAAGAATTGTAGCGTACCGTCAGTGCGAATTATTGGACCTCTAAACTGGTGCTCCTGTTGCTTGAAATCTGATCGCTGTCAAGCAAATATGAAACTGATGGTTTCCAGGAGTGATGGGCGAAATGCGTGCAGGATCAAAACGATACCGATGTGCCAACATCTAACAGATAAGATAACTTATGTGTATGACCCGCGAGAGTTTCATAGCCATATTACACGGAGCAATCCAAGCAACATGTACGGTGTGGGCGCAAATATGAATACGAGACGATTTCCGTCAGAAAATCCTAAACGGAGGGAAATGATCATAACCAGGAGGGAAATCTGCATAAAACTTTCCCTCCCGGTAGGTACATACACCTGGTGTGTATAATCAAATAAACTCACTCAAAATTGTCATGTAGCAAGAAAGAGGAAAGCAACCATATGAAATAGACTGAAGACCAGTTCAGATCCATACTTTTCGCAGATAGGTTCAAATACTGGCTGGTATGATGCTCTATGAAGAGGATCTATCAACTTTTGTCATAGCAATAAGTACCTCAGAGAGATCATTTAAACGTACATGTATGTTTTTGGGATATTCTTTTATGTGAAATCACATCTCTTGCTGTGCTAGTAAGTATTAAGAAGTATTAAGAAATTATCTTAATACTTGTTGAGACAGTCAGGCGAATAAAGTCGGAAGAAAGTTTAAAACTTTAACTGTACTAATGCATTGCTTGTGCTTGCAGTCTAAATCTCTGCAGCTTGGGGAAATTTTTAAGATAAATGCAAACTTGAAATTCAAAGTAATCATATAGTGTACGATGCAAACAGCCTAACGAACGTTGGCTCAAATTTAGTAAATGGGCGACTAATTTAGGCTAGCAAAATGGTTAACGCCAAAAGCTTAAGTAGGAGTTTTGGACGAGAGAATAGTTCTGCGGTCAGTGTTGCTGCCAAAACTTTCAAGGATTCTGTTTTAAATACACGTATGTCATTTACATCCTGGTGATAGCTAACGAAATGAAGTGGCAGTACAATTCAAAATCATAAAATAAGCGGTAATTAACCTAAAATACCCTATATATGTATGTCTCTGTATAACGCCATTACATGAAACTTTTATACTGCCAGACGATACGGCAGCACCGAGCTCGATCTGTAGAATAATAGCCATAACTGCTCATATCAGAATTTAAGTTGCCCTTACCCCTGCTGCCTTCCAAATATATCAATATGTTTTTACCTATCCATGGTATTTAATTTGTTATCTGAAAAGTAAAATGCATTTGTAATATAAACTGGCACAGTCGTAGAAATATTTTTTTCACACACATTTCCAATCATAATTGTAATCAGCAGTGTATATCAATCACCTGAGAAACTCAGTGATACGCATCTGAAATACAAGTATATAATAACATATATATCGAAAATGTATACTTACGATGTAATTCTTCACGTCGATTCCCTGTTCTATCGCTGATTTTATGTAGTGCATCAGTCCCTGCATACCGCTTTCTATGGTTCCATTTAATGAGTACTCCATTTCAAAAGAGCTGAAATAATGAATGAATGAACAAGTTAATTTTTTCTCATAATATTGAAAATAACAATAATGTCTTTTAAAACATCATATAAACCCCAACAGCAATTCAAGTTACAGCAAGCACGGTTTCATGGATAATGTCGTCTAGACAACGCTGGATCACATAATGTGGTTAATAATGCAAATTTCGCTTCAGTGCTTGTAATGGGCCTTCTCTGTTTCACGGATTATAACTGAAAGGCCAAAAGGAATTTCAATGAAATTAAGCATTCAACAGTTAAATTTGGCAAAAATTTTTTTAACTACACTAACCATTTTCATTTTAATTTAAGTGATTATTTTTCCTATCACTCTCTATCGAAGTTAGTTGAACCTTCCTTAAATACTTCTTCTAACTAATTTGCATGCAACGCGATTCTAAAATATCCTTCTGATACGGAGCTGTAAGTGGAAGCAAGAATTGATAGGAAAGCGTTTCGAAATTAAAATAATTGTTATACAATTAAAATATACCTTACAAGCTTTACAAAATATAGCGCGTGTTTGCCTTCTGGCTAAGTCACTCTTGAAGCTGTTACGCTCGGCCGTATATTACGTGCCTTTTGATATTCATCGGCTAGTTTAATTTAAGGGCCAACTACGTTAGATAATTGTGTTTAGCTTCGACTAAGTCTCGTTTAGTTAATTATAGTTTGGTTTCTTATTTCTTATTCTGAGTTAAAACCCGAGTAGAGGCTTTGTTGTAAGCCCGAGAAGGGGCCGATTGTTATTCTTATTTGAGTGAATAAAAGGGTAATTTAACCCTTCTCCAGTCTACGTCTTAGCTGTTTTGAATTCAAAGATAAGTTGCTACATAGGTCACTAGGCTCCTCGACGTTCGTCTTAGACAAAAGGAGTTAAGAACTCTACAAGCTTTAATAAATTTTTGATTAAAAAATCAAAAGTAATATGTTGCCGCAACCGGAAATGAAATCTTGCCCGCACCAGCGTAATGCCATTCAAAAGAGACAAAGATACTATTATACTTTATCTGGGAGGTGACTGGGTAATAAATTAAGCGATTTAAAAGCAATAAACACAGTTCTTAAGAATATTTTTTTCTACTTTTCATGTGATTGATTTTGCAAATATGCATTAAAGTCCTGTTAGAAATATTCAGTTTTTTTATGAAATTAAAATATTTGGACTCCTTAAAATCATTATATATTTTTCTATGATAACTATTTTAAACAGCTGGGCGAGTGAGCGGCTAGATTTTAAAGAAATAATATAGCGAATATAAAAATATGTGTGGCAACCTATAACATTCTACCAGAAATTTTAATGGTGTGCCGTTTTTAAATATTTTGTAATTTTGCTGTTGAATTGAATTTTATGTGGCGTAAATGTGAAGAGCATGATATTTAATAAAAAAGTTAGCACATAAAAATTTAATAACAAAAAGACAAAAAAATGGTTTGTAATCTTATTAAGAAAACTGAATGTTGGTATAATGATAAAATATAAACTGAAAATAAACTTTAAAAAATATAAAGATGTACGCCAACACTTAACACTGTAGTGGTAATTTTAAACTTTTAAATATATATGCTACTATACAGCTTTTTTTTTTTTTTTTTTTTTTTTTTGTTGTTGTTGTTGTTTCTGAACCGCATTTTGCGCAAGTACGAAGAAAACAATGCTTAATAATAAAGCTAAAAAGGCAAAACAAAGTTAACAGGCGTGAATGCGAGAGCACATTGATAGACTGCAAGCTCAGCGAGAGCGGGAAAGAGCAGAAAAAAAAAAAAAAAAAAAACTTTTAGGAAAGCGCTAAACCTTTCAGAATTTCTTTAAACGTTTTCTTATAAAAAATTTTATGCTTACATATCTGCTGAAAGTTAAAATTTTACAAAGAGCTGTTCTATCCTTATTTTTACGTACTGATCATCAACAGACTTTCAGAAATTTTCAAAACTTTTTTATAAAAAGTTTTATACTCACATACCTTATGAAATTTTAAATTTTACAAATAACTGTTCTCACCTTATTTTTTTCCTGCTGATCGTCAACAGCCTTTAATTGCATTTTCAAGTTCGTAAAACTGTTGGTAGCTTTTCTGATCTCCACCTTTCAATGCAAGAGTTCTCGGAATTTGCAATGCTTTTCTACACTCATGTCCATAAATTAAGGATAATGCAAAATCAAGCAAAGGAAGAGTTAGAAGCAAAACAAATTTGACTTATTTGTAAAACTTATTTATTAAACAAAAGGTAAAGAGCAAAAAAGATGCTATACGTTTGATATTATTAAAAAAATTAGCGATTTTTTTTCTCCTGGAGCAAATTACAAAAAAAAAAAAAAAAAAAATCTATTTACAAAAATCCAATATTACAAATTTGGTATGATTGTTAATACATTGTATGTCTCCCAGACGATGCAATACAGTCCGTACAACGCCTAGGCATGCTGAGTATCAAATTATCGATCTGATCTTGGGGGATATTATACCACTCAAAAAGCAATGCTCTCCGAAGTTCCGGTAGACATGTAGGAGGAAGTTGACGGGCTGCAACTCGTCGGCCAAGCATGTCCCACACGTGCTCTACTGGATTCAAGTCCGGTGAGAATGCTGGCCAGTCCATACGGGTGATATCCTCCGATTGAAGGCATTCGCTTACGATGTTTGCACTGTGAGGACGGGCGTTTTCATCCATGAACACAAATTGTACGCCCATGGCGCCCCGAAACAAACGTACATGTTGTTCCAGAATGACGTCCCGATAGATTTGGCTTGCCATGGTTCCAATTTAAACATGCAGGTCAGTTCTGGAACTCAAAATAATTCCACTCCAAACGAGCACTCCTGCACCACCATAACGGTGTCGTTCAATGATGTTTTCTTGGTGGTAACGGGTACCTGGAGCTCTCCATATGAAAGTCCGGCGAGAATCGGACTGCAAGCTAAACCTGGACTCGTCGGAAAACATCACACAAACCCAATGTTGCGGTGTCCACAATGCATGCTCTCTACTCCAGGCTAACCGCAGGCGACAGTGAGTTGCAGTAAGTGGAACGCATCTCACAGGTCTGCGAGCATATAGACCAATCTACCCTAAGCGTCTGTACACGGTCTGCCTTGAAATTGTTGTACCAATGTCTGAATAGAGTTGACGAGACAGGTCTGAAGCTGTGCTCTGCCTGTTTCTTTTGGGAGTAACTGCCAAATACCGGTCCTCATTCGGCGTTGTAACTCTGGGGCGACCTGTGCTGTAACGTCTACTCACATTACCATCATCCTGGAATCGTTGCCAATGCCTGGAGATGAAACTCTGGGCAATTCCAAGTTCGTCTGATACTTCCAGTTGGGTACGCCCACATTCCAGACGGCCGATAATTCTACCACGTAAAAAATCATCCAAATGCGTCCTTTGTGTCATAACTATTCGGTTATTGCACTGAAATGCTTATAAAGCGCCTGCGAACAATTTTACTTCTTTGCCTGTATTCCTTATATCACTCACTCTCTTGTCACACTCTCGTCATCTGGTGAAATTTGTTGATTCTTGAAGATGTGTAGTGATTTTACAGGTGATATATTTATTTTAGAGTTCGATTTCCGCGTGACTCCGAATTATCCTTAATTTATGGACATGAGTGTAGATTCAGCTGAAGCTGGCATTTAATCACTTTCTTCCGTATCATTCTCACTGTCAGTTTCAGTTTCTGCAACTATTTTAACACTCTCTGTAATATCGTAACAGTGTTTTCACATGCTGTCTCAATACTATCATCAAGTGCAATGTATTCTAAAAACGAATCTTCATAATTTCCCTCACTGATGTCTGAAATATAAAAAATAGCTTGCAATTCCTGTGTGACTTCTAAATTAAAAACCACATTTTCTGAAGCAGTTTCTAACTATGTTTTGGGAAACTGCTTCCCATGTGTTGACTGTAATATGCATAACCTCTAGCAAAAATATCGACTTAGATTTGTTTTTCACTTCTCTTCCAATTTTCAAAAGGAAATCAGTAAAAATACTGCTTGTCATCTATGAGTTAATCTTATTATGGTAAGTTAAATTCTTGGCTTCTTTTTAAACATTCCACTTTTCCCAATAACCAATGGGGTCATCTTAATTGTTGCATCCATACTGAACATTAGTAACACATGAACTCTCTTTTAATTTCTTAAAACCAGTAGCTGTTTCACTTTTAAACATTAATGTGGCCTCTGGTAATGCTCTGTAAGAGCAACCACTTTCAATCTGTGTTATAAACTTCCTGTTGCTTGTATTCTTTCATAAGCCGGGTAAAATGTCTTTTATCCAGTTCTCAGCTGAATAATGATCTGCCTCTGTCCTCTTACCCCTTGATAAACAATGTTATTTTTCTCTTTTCCTCTTGTGAGCCCTCCATCAGTTGGCACAAAATTTTCTCTTAGCATTTTACAGAATGCTACAGCTTTTGCTGTCAAAAAGAGTTCTAGAAATTGGAAACTTTTTGTGTCTCATCGCTTGAAACCATTGTAGAAACACACCTTGAGACACTTGCACTTTTTATTACATATATTTCTTTAATTAAGTAAACTGCACAATGCTATTTGGGAATTTCCCATTTAAATGCCGCTTCTCTTTGGTTGAATTTACGAAAAGTATCATAACCTTTCAGCAATTGATCCTTTTCTTTCAGGTTTGAATCATTTCGCTTAGGTATTTTCAGCACGTTACATGTTACACACTCATAAAATAAAAAATGTTTCTTCCGGTTATTATTTTAATCCAAAATTCTCGTTTCTAGACAGCAGGAATATTACACTTTTTCTGTCAAATTACAAGGTATTCTCTCCCTTCTTTCCGCATGCCTTCTTGGTGTAATTGGAAGCATATTAAAGCGTATTTGAGAGGTCCAAGATTCGAGTCCCGGCGAGGGCTTTTTACTTAAATTTCACGCTTCCTGTGACTCTATAAAGTCAACCTATCACTTCATTGTTATTATTAGACATAATCAATGCTTTTTTTTTTTTTTT